ATTTCATCTTAAATTAATTCAAATAAAGTAAAAATAAAATAAAACAACTCTGTGTGTTGTTTAGCGAAATCAGAATAACTCTACAAAGTGTTATCTGTTTACTCTCAAAACGTTAATATAACTCTTGATTTCGGGGTTAAACAGGAACTTTGGTCCAGTGTTACTTAAATAACATTTCCAAAAATGTTAAATTAACTCTAGAACAGATTGGACTCGTATAAACTCTGAGAAAATGTCAAAGTTGATTCTGTGAGAGTAAATTTTAACACTTCACTTTTTGTTGTGTACAAAGAAAAGCAGGGTTGCTTCTCCACAGATCTGACCTGTAACTCGGTCTGGTTTGGTCTCCATGAAGATAGAAAGCCATACTCACATCCCAGACAGAGCAATAACAATCTCCATGGAGACAAGCATTTGATGGACCCTCCACCACAAAAGTTACCCAATGCACCTTTAAGTAAAAGTATAGATACTGCACAGCAAAAACTGAAGGGTTAAAATTTCTGAGTAAAATATTTCAGTTGTTTTTAGCACAAAAAGTTTTATTTTAACTATTTGAAAGTTAAATGGTCGTTTGAGTTGTGGTTATTTGCCAGAGTTGATATGTTTGAAGTAAATTCAACTTCCCTTAGTGTTAATTTGGCACCTCCCACCGACCACTTCAAACTCCCACGAGAGAAGACCAGTTTGAACCAGTTTTGTTCATAATTTCATCTTAATAACTAAAATAAAGTGTAAAAATAAAACATCGTTGTGTGTTGTTTAGTAAAATCAGGATAACTCTACAAAGTGTTATCCATTTACTCTCAAAACATTAATATAACTCTTCATTTTGAGCTCCAGTGTTATGTAATTAACATTTCCAAAAATATTAAATTAACTCTAGAACAGACTCGACTCATATAAACTATGAGAAAATATGTTAAAACTGATTGTGTGAGAGTCAAGTTTAACACTCCACTTTTTGCTGCGTGGAGCAAAATAAGACTCAAGTAAAGTAAATGTATCATGTGAAAACACTACTTAATTAAAAGTATTAAAGTAACACGTTAAAATGTACTTATAAAATGCAGATAACAAAAATGTACACTTAATTTAGTTGTGTTTATTGTACAGTCAGGGACCATGTGCAGGATGATTAAGCAAAGAAACATCGAAGACATGCTTTGTACCAGACTATAGTTCTCGGAGCTCATTTCCTTCTGCAGTCCTTGAAATATACAGTACAAAAGTGCATAAAACAATACAATTTATATACAGATTGTGATTAAAAAAGTACACATACATTAAATATTTCTATCCTCTTCACCCTGCTGCCTCTATGTCCTTAATCACATATAATTTAATTGTTTTTCCTACTTTTTGAAGTCTTGGCATAGCTTTAAATACCTTGAGTACAGTGCTTTACTACTTTCACTGTATTACGTTCCAGCGCTGAAGAGGAGATGTTTCCGGCGTGTCTGAGGGAAGCTGATATGGGGATATAGAGAAGAGGAGAGGAGAGGTGCTGGAGACATGTGGAGCTCTCAGTCACTGTCACTTGACTCCGGGTCAGTTTAAGTGCGGCTGTTTGGAATGAGCAGAAAAGGAAGGTTGTAAAAGGAAAAGAAATGTCAACCTTATTTAAATATTATATAAATTAAAGTGTTTTGGATGATTAAGTGGAAGAACTGTGACAGAATATTTAAGTGTCAGTATTTCATTTTTGCGTCTGAGGGTCTGTTTACATGAGAACGCTTGTGGGGTAAACATGACAAAATATTTTATCAGAAGTGCCTTTCGTTTAGACGGTGACAGCGTTTTTGGGGCTAAAAAATGTCCAGAGTGTAAAAGTTAAATACGCTCCGCCGTAGTGTTTCCGTCTACACTGCCCAAGACGCAAAACTCTGGTCAGATCTGCTCAAGTCGCGTACACGTTTACGTCGCATACACAGAAATCTACGGAAGCCGAGAGGGGTCACAACAAACGCAAACGCCGCAACAAATACAAATGCAACACAACACACAACAAAAAAACAACACACAAAAAAAGCCACAACACACCAAAAAAGCCACAACGGAAATGACCCGGGGCTCTATTTTAATGCAAACGCCACAACATATACAAACACCACAGCACAAACGCAAAAGTTATTTATTGTTTTATCAGTTTCACATTGTAGTTCTTCTTCTTCACTTGCCGCTTGATTGGTCCATTGGAAAATAAAGTCCCGCGGTCACTTCTGTTGTGGCTTTTTGATGTGTTGTGGCTTTTTGATGTGTTGCGGCATTTGCGTTTGTGTTGTGGCGTTTGTATTTGTTGCGGCGTTTGCATTAAAATAGAGTCCCGCGGTCATTTCCCGTTGTGGCTTTTTTTGGTGTGTTGTGGCTTTGTGTTGTGTTGTCGCATTTGTATTTGTTGCGGCGTTTGCGTTTGTTGTGACCCCTCTCAGCTTCCGTAGAAAGCTGACATGTATACCCATTCGCATACCACACACTTTTGCATCACCGTATGCACGCAGATTTCCTCACGAAAACGCTCATCTAAACACAGAATAAAAAGCGAAGACGCGACGCCACTTTTGCGTCTTCTGTTCAGACTGTCATCATTTAAACGTAGCCTCACGTTGACGTAAATTTGCCAAAAAACATAATTAAAAGTTACTTTTTTTTTTAAAAATAAAACTGAATACACACAGACAATCACAATGACACAGCCTGGCTTTTTTGATTCTACAAAATATATTTTCTTCTGCTTTATTGAGGGTCAAGCCTAAGTAGGAATGCCTAGACTTCTCTTTCCACACACGCCTCCTCCAGCTTTTCCAGGGTGTTGTTCCGAGGCCAGTTGAGCAATAAAATCCCTCCAGCGTGTCCTACATCTGTCCTGAAAGAGTTGCCCCAGGCCACTTACACCCAGGCTGTGTAAAATATACTTTAAAATAACTTTTCTAGTGGAGGGATCATCACCTGCTTGTTTCTTTGGATATGTGATTGCTCTGCCTGGAAAGAGTTGCCCCAGGCCACTTCAGTTCAGTCACCTAGATGTGGAGGAGCAGCGTCTCTACTCAGAGCTTCTCCCATGGCAGGACATAATAAAATATAAATTATACTTTATTCTTTTATCTGGATTTATTGTGACAACAAGCTTCTCCCGTGGCATGACTGAGCTCCTCACTCTATCTCTAAGGGAATAACTAATGAGAAGTCTTCAGGCAAGAAATATAGAAATAATCATGGACTCAGACTTGAACTTTAACAGCCACATCAAATCAATAACATCTGCAGCCTTTTACCATCTAAAAACAGAGTAAAAATCAAAGGTTTACTGTCTAAAGCAGACTTGGAGAGACTTATCCATGCGTTTGTCTCCTGTAGGTTAGATACTGTAATGGTCTGCTCACTGGTCTCTCCAAACGAGCTGTGAGACGCTGCAGAACATCCAGAACGCTGCAGCTCGGGTCCTGACTCGAACTAATAAGTACGAGCACATAAGTCCTGTGCTCAGGTCTCTGCTCTGACTCCTGTGGCTCAGAGAATAGACTTTAAAGTGGCTGTGCTCGTGTACAAGTCTCTCCAAAGTCTCTGACATGTTGGCGCCATATGAACCATCTCGCACTCTGAGGACTCCAGGGACCGGCCTCCTGCTGGTGCACAGAGTCAGGACTAAACACGGGGAGTCAGGGTTTCAGATTCACGCACCTGAAACCTGGAACAGTCTGAAGATGTGAGACAGGCCTCTACTTTGACCCTGTTTAAATCCAGGCTCAAAACGGTTCTGTTGTGTAGCTGTGCATACAACTGAAGGGTTTTTATTCCACACTCTTCTTCTAATTTATGTAATTAATGTCTATCTCTCTCTCTCTCTTTCTAATTTTATGATGATTATTTATGTTTTGATTTGTTTTTATTGTGATTTTAATGCTTTTATTATTCTGTAAAGCACTTTGAATTACTTTGTGTTACGAATTGTGCTATATAAATAAACTTGCCTTGCCTTAAAGTAGAACAGACAAACCACGATCCCTCTAGTTTGAGGGACTTAACATCCTAAGCCACTCACTTCAAGGCTCTACAGTATTTAATCTAGTATTTTCAGTGTGATCATTTAAAAGATTTGGGGTCTTTGGGTCTTGTCGTTCACATCCATGTCTGAGTTGGTACAGTGGATTTCTTATAATTGCGGTTGGTAGTTTGACTCCAGCTCTGTGAATGTGGCGTGTGGCTGTGTGTTTAAATGAGGTCAGGGCAGCCACATTTCTGTTGGTCCAGAACCAGCTGACGCTAAAATGACCTATCACCACAACGGAGAGAGAGAGGGGTCATTATGAAGCTATAGACAAGAATCTCAAGCATAAGTTCATTTCAGCCTTTTCCTTTAGCCTAATTATTTACAATGCTCTGGTTTAGACACCCATTAGGTCCTTGGATTTTTTACATTTTTGTCTTCATCTTACACTTTATGAGGGTCAGCAGAGGCTAAATTGTTGAAACTTTTTAAATTCTCAAGTTGTTCTGCTGCAGCTCTGATCTGATGAATGCTGTTGTTGTGTCCTTGAGCCAGACAATTTGCACGCCTCAGTCCGAGTGTCTACGTGCACTAATGTATGACTGTGTATGACTGTCTATAAACGTGTGTGACTGTGTATAAATGTGTGTGACAGTGTGTGACTGGGTGAGTGGTTCCTTGATGTAAAGCGCTTTGAGTGACTTGGAGCTAGAAAATACTTTAGATATAAATATAAATGCAGTAACAGTGTATTTATATATTGTATTAGACTGTTGAGGCTGTAGAGGCGTCAGTGAGACACTTTGACATTTGGTGTCGCTCTCCTCGGTGGATGTTTGTTATTAATTAACATGAGTTGAGTTTAATGAGCTCCACGTTTCTCCCTTTGCCCTGTGCGCTTCCGCCCACACAGCTCCGCTCCAGCGGCTCCGCAGAAGCATTCCCCACAGGGCTGACGTCAGGAGGGCCGGGCCCCACCACAGCGCACTATAAAGGCCGGGTGTGTGCTGCTTCATTCACAGACTCACACGGAATACTACGGCGACACGAGGGCAGCCTAACGATGAAAATGTCGGCGGCGGAGATCCTCAAAGAGGGCGAGCTCGAGAAGAGGAGCGACAACCTGCTCCAGTTCTGGAAACGGAAGACGTGCGTCCTGACCGCGGACAGCCTCAACATTTACCCGGACACACAGAAGCGCAGCAAGGCCAAGGAGCTCAAGCTACAGTCCATCAAGAAAGTGGACTGCGTGGAGCGCACGGGCAAGTTCGTCTACTTCACCATCGTGACCACAGACAATAAAGAAATCGATTTCCGGTGCTCTGGAGAGGAGAACTGCTGGAACGCGGTCATTACCATGGCTTTGATTGACTACCAAAACAGAAAAGCGATCCAGGACTTTAAAACGCGACAGGACAATGAGAGCGCGTCTCCAGGGCAGCACGAGAGGCGCATGGCCAGAGCGCCCTGACGCACCGCGCGCCCTGAACTCCACTCCTAATATGGTGAGCCACACACCGCTCACACAGCACATGTCACACCAGCGCTGAATGAGACTAACGTCTTGTGTACTTGTGATTCCAGCGTCAATGTTGGACCACTCAGACTAAACTAGGACCAAATGGAAGACCAGGTCATCCGGTCCAAACATGAAGGATAGTCCGGGACTGTGCTCTCACTACACTGACCTGAGACTGAGCTGTACCGGAGCTCAAGAGGACTGAACCTTTGAGATGTCAAAACGATTTCAAGCTCTGCCTTCAGGAGCGTGCCTCCTAAACACGTTTATGTTAATTTATTTGTTTCCTGTTATGTTGTTACTTGCAATCAGCTTTAAATTATATGTGTTTACTTTGTATTTATTTGAATAAATATGCAAACATTTGTAACAGAAGTGAATCTGTGCCTTCATTAACACGTGACAGCTAAAAGAGCAGGGTCACTACATAGATGCCATGCGCGCTGGGCATAGGGAGTGGAGACCGGAAAGTCCCCGCGCCTCCGTCAGGTGGAATGCGCCTCTTTTGTGGCCCTGTGAGTCAGTGCAGCGCTGATAAGAGATTCACTTGAAGCACGCCGCCACAGCACACCTTCTGTCAGGAGAGGAGTGGTAGTTTCTCTTTATTTCTGCTTCTGAAGCCAAGTAAATGTGCCAAAGCCAACAAAAGACACAAAAGACACAAAAGGGACAGTCTCCTTCATTTCACACGTGTCCAAACCAGATTTAAACTCACGCCTTTTTATCTGTAGCACGTCTTATCCAACACAACATTTTACAGTATTATTTGACTGCAGTAAAGCGTGTGGGCGGAAGCATGTGACAGTGATTGATGGTCATTAAGTAGGAAGCAGAGACCCAATGACATCTTTGTGGTTTGTTTCAACATGATCTTTGTGGTTTTGTTTCAACTTGATGCTCTGTTGAAAATTCTCTAGAAATAAACCAGTAGCCTTCAGAAATTAAGACAAATTACGATAGCGTCACACAAAACATACTCCTTTTGTATGTGTTATTATTTTACTCTGACTAAACCCAAACAAACACGTAACCAGGCGACCTACTTTTATTCAGTTGGTCTGATTTAGGACACAATAGCTCACAGTTAAAGGTCTTATATTACACAAAATTGACTCATGTGAGCTTTAAATCATGTTAGAAAGTTGTTACCTCCTCAAAAACAGACCTGGAGTTGTGTTTTGTTTCATTCACACATGTTATTATCCTTCAGCTACCTTTGATTTTTTCTAAAGTAGAGATGGGCAATTCCAGGGCTGAAATTATCCAAGTGATTCTAGTGAAGGTTTATGGAGTTTAATAACACAGTGGGGCATTTTGTGTATTACCACATGACATCACAAGGAGTTTTTATTTCTGTTTGAGAGAAGAACCAAGTGTAATTATGCAGGATTTGTGTCTTAAACATGTGTAAATGAAACAAAACAAAATAAAACTCCGGGTATATTTGTGAGTGACTTGGACTCGAATCTGACTTGAGTCACTATTTTTAGGACTTGAGACTTGAATTGATAAAATAGACTAAGACTTGGGACTCGACTTGGACTTGAAGGTCAGTGACTTGGGACTTGACTCGGGCTTGAGGCCTGTGACTTGAGAAGCACTTTTAAATCTGAATTCGTTCTATTCTGACTGCAATGATTCACTTTAAGATCTTGTCAAGATATTTTAAAAGGAAACATTTACATTTCTACAACTCTTATATACTTTATAAATACTCATATACAAATATATTATGATTTTTAAGTACAATTTATCTCAAAATTCATATAAATGGCAAAAATCTAAGCTATATTTGGTACTTTAGTTTAAAGACTTGAAATGACTTGAGCTTAAAGCAGATGACTTGGACTTGACTTGGACTTATGAACCAGTGACTCGAGACTCGACTTGGACTTGCCTGTATTTGACTTGGGACTTGACTCGGATTTGAGGCCTGTGACTTGAAAAGACTTGAGAAGCACTTTTATATCTGAATTTGTTCTGTTCTGACTGTAATGATTCACTCTAAGATCTTGTCAAGACGTTTAAAAAGGAAAAAATTGCACTTCTACAACTCTTATATACTCTATAAATACTCATATACAAATATACTAGGACTTTTTGAAGTACAACTTATCTTAAAATTCACATAAATGGCAAAAATCTAAGCTATTTGGTTTAAAAACTTGAAATGACTTTACGCTCAAAACAGACTTGATTTGGACTTATGGGCCAGTGACTCGAGACTCGACTTGGACTTGAGGTCAAAGATTTGAGACTTACTCGAGACTCGCAAAACGACGACTTGGTCCCTCCTCTGAGAAACAATATTATAACATAGATCAGAAAATAGTGTAATATGAGCCCTTTAGCAGAATATTGTCACCTATAAGCAGGAACAGAATGCCCGAGCCGGTCTTTTCCTTTATTCCTCTCCCAAATCCCTCCTCATATAAGCAGGTTTAAGTGGGGGAAGTAAGTTATGAGGCTATGTCAGGGGTCAGAGGGGGGGGGGGCTTTAAGCTGTATCCGAGCTCTGCTATGAATGAAGTGTATAGTAAAGTGACACCTCCCCTCTCTCCTCTCTCCTCTCTCCCTCTGTCACTCTGTCCCATCTCCGGAGCTCCTCTTTGAAGTGGGATAACCTCATCAAAGTCCGCCTGCCTGATCCGGCACTGATCTGAGCCACATTAGCCGGCCGCACTAAAAATACACACAAGCTTCACAAATTGGCACCGCTTTAATCTTGCGCGGATGACACACGTGCAGGATGTGTCGGTAAAGAGAGGGGCGGCTCCGCGGTGAAGAGGAGGTATAGAGTTAAAGAGGGCATAATAGGCCTGACCTTCCCTCGGAGTGACATTTGCCCGCGTAAACATCCTCTCTGACGCAGCTCCCGCTCCACACACGGTCACGCTCTGAGGTCACCGTGAAGGCCTCATAAGAAATGCATAAAAGGAAAACTGTGACGTCCTTATTACACGGGTGAGATTAATTGTGTGAGTAAATATTGATAGAGGCACAGCGTATTTCTAAAGATTTCACCATAAAGTAACTAGCAAATGATTTCACAATTTTTTTTTTTTTATCAGTCATTAAAAGTTTATCTTATTGATTATAAAACCAGGTTGGCTGCTCGTTTCATTTTTTAAAACTTATTTTTATTAAATCATTTTTGGTGCAAGCCACATATAGTTATAAAACAGCACAAAAAATATAATAAAAGTAAAATGACAATGAAGTTACAGTGTAGATGCAGTCATACACATTGTCCCCTCGTTTACTATTTGTAATCAATCAATCAATCAATCAGACTTTATTTGTGTAGCACTTTTCATACAACAGCAATATGTTTCATCCATATATACAACAATAAAAAAAACATAAACATAAAGCTCTTAAAGGTTATAATAATAATAAAAATGGAGAGCTAAAATCAGATGGAAACTAAGTAAAACAGGAATGATAATTTAATTTAAAACAAATATAATAATAATAATAATAATAATAATAATAATAATAATAATAATAATAATGATCATTTAATTTTAAAAAAAGTGTAAGTTTCAATTAAAAGCTACATTTTGAGTTTACTTTTTTTTTTTTTTTTTTTTTTTTTTTTTATTGGATCATTTGCGGCAAACAAAAACAAAACCTAAACCATGACTACATGGGTCGTGACAGGAAGGGTCCAAGCTGAAACAAAAGATACCAAACACATGAACAACAAGTTTGCATTCACAACTCCAATCACTGTACATATAAATAAACAAAATATACATTAAAACAAACAAAACTCAATGCATAATTCATCAACTCCAGAGCTCCATATTTTCCAAAACACAACAGTCTATAGTCTTTTTAAGGTTTCTACAGTGTTGAACTGTTTAAAGTCATTGCACCGAATATTTTACAAACCAAAATCTCTACCAGAAATTTCTTTCTTCCTCATTCTTATTTTATTTTATTTATTTATTTTTATTTTCCCCCATTTATGGTCGTGCAAACAAATAATAATGTTAACAAAGGGACAAAAGTTTATCATTTATGATCGTGCGAAACAAACAACGACCTTTTGAGTTATACTTTTAAAAATATGAACACTCACGGCGAACCTCAGATCCTCAGGTCGACTGTTCCACAAACAGGTGCCGTAAAAGCTGAAGGACGACTCACTGTGAGTTTTAGTTTGGACTCTTGGAACAGCTAAAAAATGACTACCTGAGGACCTGAGAGTCTGATAGGGCTCATGTGATAAAAGCAGATCAGATAAATAAATAGGACTAAGACCATTAAGAGATTTATAAACCAAGAAAAAGAACTTTAAAATCAATCCTGAAGCTCACAGGAAGCCAGTGCACAGACTTCAGTACTGGGGTGATGTGCTCTCTCTTCCTGGTCCTCGTCAGCAGCCTATAAACTCACACACACACAAAAAAAAAACTATAAAAGACAGTCATCCATTTGAAATATAGGTTTGGACTGAAGACCATTTGTCCATGAATAAATCTGTCTCCATTTGTAACCTTTATTTTACTTTTCCACTGGGTAACTGTGGGGGGCAGCGGCCTGAGCCAGGAGACCATTACCAGTTTCTTGGCAATTAAGAATAACTCAGCAAGTGAAATTTTCAGCAAGTGAAAACGACTATTTGCTCTTGTTTTATTTGGAAACATTCCCAACAGTACAGGCTGCTTGTTTTAGGGATGCAACGATCCGGCTTTTCCACTTCTGATGCCAATTTCGATACTAGAGCTCTCAGTATTAGTTGATGCCTGATACCAGTGCAGAAACTAAAAGCTAAGTATTTATTTCCTTAAAATAAAAATAAATTAAGACAAAACTCATCCAAATGTGTTATTAAACGTATTCAACCTTCCAGTAACTACAGAACAGCTTTGTATAAAAAAAAAGTTCAAACATTCTGAGACTTTTTGGGCCCACTACGACCAGTAAATAATTTTATATGAATTTATTATTATTATTATTATTATTATTATTATTATTATTATTATTATTATTATTATTATTATTATATTATTTATTATATTTATTTATTCATTTATTTTTTTATTTTTTTATTTTTATTTTTTTTTACAGTTTCAGTGCCAATAACTTATACCAGTATCATCTTGTTTCTGTTATCGCTCTATGTTCCACAGTAGGGCATTAAACAGGTGACCCCATCAGGCCAAATTACGAGATGCTCAAATTAAAATGTCACCTGACCATGGAGATAAGCAGGTGTCAGAGTGGCAGACTCTCCACCAGAAAAAGTTACACAGTGAACCTTTATTATAAGAAAGTGTCTCACATGACCTATGACACGTGACTTAGATTCAGTTTTAATAAATAACTCAATGAGATAAATCTTCAAATAATACTAAAAAACAAAC